AGGTTGCATTTCTACATTCCACACCTTATCTTGAAAAACATTAGAGCAAATGTAGATCAAGGTAAATCAAATACAATTGTCCCCCTGGGGTACTGATTCCAGGATTTCCCATGGATACCAAAATCTGCAGATGCTCACGTCCCTTGTATAAAATGGGTGGCATTTGCATATAACCTACTCACATCATCCCATATACTTTAAATCATTTCTATGTTACCTATTGTACCTAATTCAATGGCAACACATTACACATCACTTCATCAGTGTGTATTCAATGTAGTACTCGGCATGTGACAAATTCAAGTTTTGCTTTTTGGAACTTCGTGGAATGTTTTCTTTCCAAATATTTTGGATCCATTGTTGGCAGAACCCATGAATAGAGAGGGCTGACTGTATATAAGCTTTTGAAAATGAGTAGGATGCTGTTTTACTTACTTAGAGGCAACCCGGAAGTATTTCTGGATAAAATAAAAGGCGACACCAAGGGGCAGGAGGGCAACCAGGAACACAGGAGTAGCATGAGAAATCATCCCAATGGCAGACAGGCAGAGCAGTGTTGAGCGAGTTAGAGATTCCAAGGTTGGAGGGATGTGCTATTAGGGTAGTTTGAAAGGGAAATATGATTAGCCCAATGAAATATTGGTTACAATGTAACAAAAATATCTATTTTATATTGACACTATATTATACAGTTAGCTACAAAAGTAGTATATAACCATGCTCATCCTAAGCAATTCTTCACTCAATTCCCATAGTTTAGTATGTCTGTCTATATATATAACAAAATATCATTGATATGTCTACCTATCTATCTATTTCTCTTGGGTGTTTTATGTAAATGACACTGTAATATAAATATTATTCATTCATGTGTTTGTTTATTGAACTAGACAGACTGTAAATCTTCCTATGGCAGTGTATACAAATCTATTTCTTTTTTTTAAGGAGACTTTAATGTAAATAGTTAAATTTTTTTCTTTTATATATATATATATATATATATATATTTTATTGCACTTTAGGTTCTGGGGTACATGTGCAAAACATGCAGGATTGTTGCATAGGTACATACATGGCAATGTGGTTTGCTGCTTCCATCCCTGTCACCCATATCTGGCATTTCTCCCATGTTATCCATCCTCAACTCCCTACCCCCTGCTGTCCCTCCCCAAGTACCCCCCAGCAGACCCCAGTGTGTGATGCTTTCCTCCCTGTGTCCATGTGTTCTCATTGTTCAACACCTGCCTATGAGTGAGAACATGGGGTGTTTGGTTTTCTGTTTTTGTGTCAGTTTGCTGAGAATGATGGTTTCCAGATTCATTCATGTCCCTACAAAGGACACAAACTCATTGTTTTTTATGGCTGCATAGTATTCCATGGTGTATATGTGCCACATTTTCCTTGTCCAGTCTATCATCTATGGGCATTTGGGTTGGTTCCAGGTCTTTGCTATTGTAAACAGTGCAACTATGAACATACGTGTGCATGTGTCTTTATAATAGAACTATTTATAATCCTTTGAACATATACCCAGTAATGGGATTGCTGGGTCAAATGGAATTTCTATGTCTAGGTGCTTGAGGAATTGCCACCCTGTCTTTCACAATGGTTGAACTAATTTACACTCCTACCAACAGTGTAAAAGTGTTCCTATTTCTCCACATCCTCTCCAGCATCTGTTGTCTCCAGATTTTTTAATGATCGCCATTCGAACTGGTATGCGGTGTTATCTCAACGTGGTTTTGATTTGCATTTCTCTAATGACCAGTGATGATGAGCATTTTTTCATATGTTTGTTGGCCTCATGCATGTCTTCTTTTGAAAAGTGTCTTTTCATATCCTTCAACCACTTTTGAATGGGTTTGTTTGTTTCTTTCTTGTAAATCTGTTTTAGTTCTTTGTAGATTCTGGATATCAGCCCTTTGTCAGATGGGTAGATTGCAAAATTTTTTTCCCATTCTGTTTGTTGAAGGTTTACTCTAATGATTGTTTCTTTTGCTGTGCAGAAGCCCTGGAGTTTAATTAGGTCCCATTTGTCTATTTTCACTTTTGTTGCCATTGCTTTTGGTGTTTTAGTCATGAAGTCCTTGCCTATGCCTATGTTCTGAATGGTTTTGCCTAGGATTTCTTCTAGGGTTTTTATGGTGTTAGGTCTTATGTTTAAGTCTTTAATCCATCTGGAGTTAATTTTAGTGTAAGGTGTCAGGAAGGGGTCCAGTTTCTGCTTTCTGCATATGGGTAGCCAGTTTTCCCAACACCATTTATTAAACAGGGGATCCTTTCCCCATTGCTTTTTTTGTGAGATTTGTCAAAGATCAGATGGTTGTAGGTGTGTGGCATTGCCTCTGAGGCCTCTGTTCTGTTCCATGGGTCTATATGTCTGTTTTGGTACCAGTACCATGTTGTTTTGATTACTGTAGCCTTATAGTATAGTTTGAAGTCAGGTAGTGTGATGCCTCCAGCTTTGCTCTTTTTGCTTAGGATTGTCTTGGCTATGCAGGCTCTCTTCTGGTTCCATATAAAGTTTAAGGTGGTTTTTTCCAGTTCTGTGAAGAGGGTCATAGGTAGCTTGATGGGGGTAGCATTTAATCTATAAATTACTTTGGGTAGCATGGCCATTTTCACAATATTGATTCTTCCTTACCATGAGCATGGAATGTTTTTCCATCTGTTTGTGTCCCCTCTTATTTCCTTGAGTAGTGGCTTGTAGTTCTCCTTGAAGAAGTTCTTTACATCCTTTGTTTGTTGTATTCCTAGGTATTTTATTCTCTTTGTAGCAATTGTGAATGGCAGTTCGTTATTGAATTGGCTTTCTTTAAGTCTGTTATTGGTATATAGGAATGCCTGTAATTTTTGCACATTGATTTTGTATTCTGAGACTTTGCTGAAGTTGCTTATCAGTTTGAGATGATTTTGGGCTGTGATGATGGGGTCTTCTAAATATACAATCATGTCGTCTGCAAGTAGAGACAATTTGACTTCCTCCTTTCCTAATTGAATACCCCTTATTTCTTTTTCTTGCTTGATTACTCTGGCTAGAACTTCCAATACTATACTGAATAGGAGTGGTGAGAGAGGGCATCCTTGTCTAGTGCCAGATTTCAAAGGGAATGCTTCCGGTTTTTGCCCATTCAGTATGATGTTGGCTGTTGGTTTGTCATCAGTAGCTTGTATTATTTTGAGATACGTTCCAAAGATACCTAGTTTATTGAGAGTTTTTAGCATAAAATGCTGCTGAATTTTGTTGCAGGCCTTCTCTGTGTCTATTGAGATAATCATGTGGTTTTTGTCTTTGGTTCTGTTTATGTGGTGAATTACGTTTATAGACTTGAGTATGTTGAACCAGCCTTGCATCCCTGGGATGAAGCCTACTTGATCGTGATGGATACGCTTTTTGATGTGGTATTGCAATCAGTTTGCCAGTATTTTATTAAAGTTTTTGTATCTATGTTCATCATGGATATTGGCTTGAAGTTTTCTTTTCTTGTTGAGTCTCTGCCAGGTTTTGGTATCAGGATGATGTTGGTCTCATAAAATGATTTGGGAAGGATTCCCTCTTTTTGTATTGTTTGGAATAGTTTCAGAAGGAGTGGTACTAGCTCCTCTTTGTATGTTTGGTAGATATACAGCTGTGACCCCATCTGGACCTGGACTTTTTTTGGTTTGTAGGTTATTAATGCTGCCTCAACTTCAGCCCTTGTTATTGGTCTATTCAGGGTTTTGACTTCTTCCTGGTTTGGGCTTGGGAGGGTGAAAGTGTCCAGGAATTTATCCATTTCTTCCAGGTTTATTGGTTTATGTGCATAGAGTTGTTTGTAGTAATCTCTGATGGTAGTTTGTATTTCTGTGGAATCTGTGGTGATATCCCCTTTATTGTTTTTTATTGCATCTATTTGATTATTCTCTCTTTTCTTTTTTATTAATCTGGCTAGTGGTCTATTTTTCTGATCTTTTCAAAAAACCAGCTCCTGAACTTACTGATTTTTTGAAGAGTTTTTTTGTGTCTCTATCTCCTTCAGTTCTGCTCTGATCTTGGTTATTTCTTGTCTTCTGCTAGCCTTTGAGTTTTTTTGATCTTGCTCCTCTAGCTCTTTAATCTATTTCGTTTTAATGGTTCCATAGTATTAGCTTATTTAGCAATTCCTCTACTGTAATACATTTAAATTAATTATCTGTAATTGCTTCCTCATATCCTTTGGGCTTTGAGTGGATTATTTTTTCCTTATTGATTTTTAGATGCTCTGTATATATTATGTTTATTTAAAAAATTATTTGCAACTTTTTTTCCCCTAGTTATCTATTGTATGTAAATTTTTCTTTGGTGCTTTTAGCTCAATAACAACTTAAAGTTTTTTTATAGGTATTTCTTTTGTCAGCTCAAAAGTAACCTATTTTCCTTATTGCTTCTGAGTTATTTGTCTTACTCAGAAAGACCTTTCCCACTCCAAGATTCTAAAACTATTCTCCTACATTTTACTTTATAACTTTGTTTTAACATGACCAACTCTATGCTATATGCATTTGTTTTGTATTTTTAAATAGCTAATTATCCCAATATTGTTTGTTGAAAAATTAATCATTTCCTTATTAAGGTGCCACATTTATACTGTTACATTGCTACATATGCTGGTGTTTTTTAATTCTCCATACTGTTCTTTTGACCTACTTGCCTTCTGCAATCAAAAGAGTTTTTAAATTTTGTAATATTTAAAAAATATCTAATAGGGAAATTCTTTCTCTATATATACAGGATTGTTATGACTTCAGGGATTGCTAAACATCTTTTCTTCACATTTATTTATGTTTTTATGGTTTTGTTGTTATGAATGGAGTTTGTTTTTCACTACTTTCTTAAATTGGTGTAGAAGTTGCTGCTTTTCATATGATATATCTTATGTAGATACTCTGCTGAACTTTCTAATTGATTTTCTATTTTGAATACTCTAAGTAATAATCATGTCATCTTCTAAATAATGACTGTTTCATTTCTTCTTTTTCAGTGTGTTTTCCTTAGAAGGGTTTTAGGTGCAGTCTGACCAAGGCCATGAAAACATCAAAACTTCTCAACATACTCTTCAGTCAGCTGCATGCATCAAGCACTCTTTCTAAATTGAGGGCCATTTTGGTGTTCCTAATGCCACCCTGGAAAGTCAGAAAAGGCAAGGGCTGGATTTGATGAATTCCTTTCTCAATCATCCAAAGGGTTCCACTTTTAGAGTAATACAATTTCGGAGTTTGATATCTTTGATTTTAAGACAAACTTTCAGATACTTAAGGATTTTAGGCTGAAGTGGACATTCTTGGAATATTTCCTAAAATATCACATTGTCATTTGAAGCTTCAAGAACCAACCTAATAAAAGTAAAGAACTTTAAGACAGCTTGGAATCCTTCCCTTCACTTCTGAGAGAAATTCTGCATGCACACTAAACTTCTAAGAACTTTATACCGGGAATGCTGATACATTATTAATCAAAATTTTTTTATAATAAAAAAATTTAAATGTTCAATTATGCTTTAGTATTTCTCTTTACTTCATGCCGTTTCTCCAGGTATCTTCTTCTACATATACAAATTAGTCTGAGTTAAGGTTTTCCTTTAATATTTCATTCTAGATATTATTTGCATGTATAATATTGATATAAGTACAAAAAGACCTTCATTTAAATTTCAGCAATTCTCTATTGTTAAGAGGAACTATGCTTTATCTTAAAATGCTATTTAGCTTACATTGTGAAACTACTTTTTGAACTTGGAAGTAACCCAGTTACTACTCACCTGATCAATGATATTAGTATCAGCTGAAAATCGATTGAGAATCAGTCCCAGGGGCGTGGTATCAAAGAATCTAGGCAATAAACAGATGCAAGTGTATGAGAATACTAAACTGTTTGGAACCTGGGCATTGCTAATGGGCATCTCAGTGTCATGAAAATGAGAAGCTCCCTATTCCTATGTGCTCAAGGACTAAAGAAATTCTTTGAACTTTGACATTTCACTTAAATTGAAAAGTGCATGTTTTTATTATTTTATGTGTGAGAGTGAGAAATAACCACTGTTTTACCTTATTGGTCCAAGAATTATCTTATTGAGAAGGTTGTGGTGAAGATTTTTGGCAGCTGTGAGACCCATCCATTCTACAGTAAGGGATGTAACAAGGCAAAGGAAAATGCCTGCTCCACAAAGTATGCTGAAACCAGCCACGTAGTAGGTCTAAAAAGCAACCAACACAAAAGGCACATGGGAAATGATCAATTTAGTTCTTTTTTACTAGAAAATCAAATGTCAACATCAGACAAGATGGTTGACTTCATTATTGCACATGCATTTAGACAGTTCAGGAATGCAATTTGTCGAGACCCAGGGTAGTATCCCCACCATAATCCCACAGGCCAAGACTCTACCTGCTCCCTTAACTCTCTTTCAAGGCTTGCTTAAAAGCAAATTAAGAGAGAGAGAGAGTTTGTTTTCAGGTTTGAGGCATATTCTTGGCTTTCTACATTGTAGAGCTCACTTTTCTCATTCCTAGACTCAGAGTGACCAGCTAATACACTGATGTAGGTAGATAACACCAAATACCATAAGAATAAATATGAAAAGGTCCTATATATGTGTATATATGTATAACATGTATAAAAATATATATACATAACTCCCTTGAATACAAGTCTAAACATATTTAAATATTTCTTATGATAAACTTTAAAAGTATTAATAATAGATTCTATTTTAACATTTTTGATACTTTATTTCAGGTCCTGTTGTAATTATTAACTTATTGAATTATCACAGAAGTCCTATGGCATTTGGAATATAAGCATCTATCTTGATAAAAAGGTGTCACTGTTAATCTCAATATTTCCTTGATGATTTAAAAACAAAACCAATAGTACCTGATCAGCTTTTCCAGTACTGTTTATATTGTACTCTGATGTCCACGTGGCCAGCCAATAGTCTATAGCTACAATGACTGAATGCTTCAGAAGCTTAGAGAATATCATCAGGATGAGCAGAAAGAATCCTCCAGAAGTGAGGTACCGCCAGCAGGTTTTCCATGGCATTTTAGTCCGGAGCCTCATTACCGTGGACATGTTATCATCCTCATCTTCCTCCTCTTCTTCCTCTACATACAAAAAACTTGTTTAAGCTTCAGATGGGCACCAGCTAGATACAACTTCTATTGTTCCACAAATAGTATATAAATATTCATAAATTTATAAAAGAAGTAAGCATTAGTATTGAAGTATTAAATGCTTTAAGCAGGGCAAACTTCATTTCTTTCTGAAAATAGGTGAAAAATGAATGAATGAATGAATAAGTGATTAAACAAACATAAAATCTATGTCTAGATGAGATGATTTGCTGATTTACTGCAAATCAAATTGACTGGAAGTACAGACCAGAAACTTACTAAGTTATGGAAGGAATTGCGTTGCCAACAAAAACCACATACCTGGCTTACAAACATCTACAATATTTCGACATGTAAATTTCCGAATGGATAAAGCTGCACCAGGAGGGAATAGGCTCTGAAATTTGTGCACAGCACAAGAGGGCATATTCCATTCTCTCTATGGCCCACTTTAGATATGATCATAGAAGGGAATGGGCAAGGAGGAATCTTACAGTGGGCAAAGCCAGGAGACACAAAGGATAATGGGCCAGGAATTCATCTCAGATGTTTAAACTGTCTAGAAACTCCAAGATGGTCTTCCTTAGGAATGACTCCACTGCTAAATCGGGTTTTGCATTTCCTGACGATCACAGTTTGATCATTTCTAGGGTCCAGTGACTGTGTTTTCCCATCCTTTCCTTTTCCAAAGGAACTTTATTTATTAAAGTTATCCTGTATGTACCTCACTACTATATACATATCAGGTTGTGGGGAAGAAGGTTGTCTTTACTTTTTAGGTTATTAGACCACAGGGATCCAAATATGTTTATGATGAGAAGACAGAGCATCACCAAAAATCCTGACATCTGAGCTGAATGCAGTAACTGACTAGGTCATAGATGATCTCCCCTTTGGCAGGGGTGTGTTTCTTGTGTGAGAAGAACAGAATAGAAATTTGCACGACCAAAGAGGTGGACACTTGCACACTGCTAGCTGACTCCCCAATACCCATTCTTTGCTTCTGTATCAATTGAAATTTAAAGTAGCCCATGGCTGCCCAGCTAAAGACAGCATCTCCTCACTCTCCTAGTACCTAATCTTTCTAAGCAATGACGGAGCCAATAGTAAGTAGAAACAATACATGCAACTCCAAGTCTCTTAAGCAAATGGAAGTGCCCTCTCCTTCTTTCCTTCCCCTACTGGTGGCTTGAGCATTTTACTAAGACCTGGAGAACAAACTGATAAGTAATATGCACCGCAATTGGCTCCTTCACATACATTACTTCATTTACCCTGTAAGCAAAGCGCTCTTATTTTATAACTGAGAAGATCGATTATTATGGCAAGCCAATGTCACAGTATCCCCACTGAAACGCTGAACAGAGTAATTGGGTACAAATTCATTCTTATAGCATATTAAAAATAAATTGTTTAGAATTCTAGAAGCTGATGTCTGGTTATAGCACCAAAAATTCTTTAGAAACATTTTTAATCATAGAAATTGAAAGTAAAATTTACCCTTCATTCATTAATTCATTCACTCAATGAATATTTGTTGAAACACTGAATAGTTTTGGCAGAAATAGAAAAGCAGAACATTTTGGTGCTATATGGCTTGAAAAAAACACTTTTCTGTTTCTTTAACTAGTTGAAAGAAATGCAGGCATAAGCAAAAATTACAAAGGAAAATGAAGCATAATGCATTTACACTATTGATTTAAAATGTGTTTTATCTCACAATATTCTTGGCAATGAATGTCAAAGCACTGTAATTATTCCATTTCATTCCTCACATTTCCAGTCAATCTTTTTCCCACATATACCTTATCAGATTCAGAAAAAACTGAAACATAACAAATGGCATTCTAATTTTCTTATCCTTCATGGCAATATTGTCATGAAACCTCATGAAGATGAAATAAATGACTCAAATATCGCTATTTCAAAATGCCATATTTCCCTTTTAATACTTATTTCTGAAGAATTGAAATTTTCTTCACTAGATTTGGTTATTATCCAGACAATTCCAATTTTTCTGAACCAAAGTCTAGATATGTTTACAATCCACTGCCATTTCCTTTCAGTTCCTTCCCACACATAACAACTGTAGTAACACGTGATGCAGAGCCCCCAAGACAACTGGTGATAGGTTACATGTGCTTTTTCTTGATTCCTATTGTTTTCATTTTTAGTATTTGATTTAACTTTTTCCCCTTGCAAAGTGGCTTATTATTCTTCATGAAGACACTCACACGTAAAAAAAACCTCATATCCTGTTACTCTAGTAGAATGTTCCAGACAAAAGAAAAGAGATTGACCCAGCAATCCCATTACTGGATATATACCCAAAGAACTATAAATCATTCTACTGTAAAGACACACGCACACGTATGTTCACTGCAGCACTGTGTATAATAGCAAAGAACTGGAACCAACCCAAATGCCCATCAATGATAGACTGGACAAAGAATGTGATACGTATACACCATGGAATACTATGCAGCCATAAAAAATGATGAGTTCCTGTTCTTTGTAGGGACTTGGATGAATCTGGAAACCATCATTCTCAGCAAACTGACACAAGAACAGAAAATCAAACTCCACATGTTCTCACGCATAGGTGAATGTTGAACAATGAGAACATGTGGACTCAGGGAGAGGAGCATCACACACTGGGGGCAGTTGGTGGGGCAGGGGAGAGACAGTGGAGAGGGATAACATGGGGAGAAATGCCAGATATAGTATGTACCTAAAGTTAAATAAATAAATAAGTAAATAAATAAATAAGTAAGTAAGTAAGTAAGAAGAGAGATCTACCTTCGTCTTCATCCTCCATTTGGGCTTTGGCCTCTCTTGAATACATGGCCCTTCGGAGAGTTTTCCTCTCTAAAGTAGTTTGGTCAGCTTCCATATCCTAGAGTAAACATTATACTATCACACAAGGAACTAACACCAACAGGTTGTGACTTACCAATGTGACTTGCATGTGTAAATGGTTAGTTACCTTTACCAATCTCAGGGGCTCTGTGTTCACTCTGGAGATCCACAACTCCTATCACAGAAACAGCTGTGGGGGCAGAGCCTTAGACTTGTAGGAAGTGCTGCAGTGTTCAAAGGTGTAGGGCAGCACACGAGGCCAGGGAAAGCGAGAAGGAGATGCAGCTGACTCCAGAACCGGGGGGATATCTATCTCCCTGAGCCCTAAAGCACAGTTCCACCACTGCTACTTATTTATACATCACCTTCAGACTATCCCTGTAATTTTTCTAATTAAAGATTCATTCATGTTAATACATATCTTCCTTCAAAAGACCACATGGTTCCAAGTTGGTTAAACTGC